AGAAAGATGAAAAAGGGGTCCCTATGTCCTCCAGCAGAAAGATTGTTGCTACTCCTCCTCCTCGCCCAGAACTTCTGGGGATGTGAAAATTTAAATAGCTTGAAGGAGTTGCCTCATTTATGCTCACATAATCCTCTTGCTGCAGCCAGGTATCTGTAAGGCAACACAAGTCAATGTGATTATTAAGGGTGTGCAAAATAATCGTCATGACGATCCATCGCGATTCTAATTTTTGTGATCTACTGCATTGATTATTGAAGGCAAGAATCGATTATTAAAAAGAAAAAAATGAACAAATAAAATACATCAATGGTTGGCGCACATCAGCCAAATCAAGTGGAATACAACTTCCAGTCCAGCAGATGTCGCTGTGGATGTGTTGACGCCCGCTGCCTTGTGTCACAAGCATGTCCGGCCGCGGTATACTGCAACGAGTCATTCGTAAACAAAATATGGAGGAGACTGAGAAAATTCGCCCCCTGGCTCCATCACATTTCAAGTCAGATGCTTGGATGCATTCTAGTGATTATCACAAATCAAGTCATTAACTAGCAGACTTTTAGAGGAAAGAGATCTTATGTTAAACAGACCACATTTAATCGTTTTAACTTTTTTCCCAATTGGAGTTATTTTAATTTTAATTAGATTATCATGATTTACTCCTTTGGGAATCTTTGCTAATTTATTAGATTTTGGTCGTTGGCAAGACACTGTCTGGATGGAATAAAGAGTGGGTAACAGTAGAGAAGCTGCAGAGAGGTCTGTTAAACAAGGACTCTGCTTCCTGGACTAATAAATTTGACCAGATTCCTAGAAAGAAGAGCTGCACCATCCAGAGTGATGCTATGAAACACACTGGCTGTTTAATAGCATCAGTAGATTAACTTTTACTTACAATAAAAATCGGCCCATCACATTGCATAGTCATTATGAAGTCAATTAAGCCTATAAATCATGTAATTTAACATATTATACAAGTCCATCACAATAAAATTAATGTGTCAATGGAGCAGAAAAATACAGATGAGCCAAAAGTGCTAAATTGATGATGTACATGTAACATGTATTTATTTACATTG